CCAGAGGTTCAAACAGTAAAAGGGAAGTAATCACAAGGGAGGAGGTATATTCTTTTCTTTCCTCATCTTCTACTTTCAGAGACCAAGAATGAAAGTGCTGAGAAAACAGAAAAGTCCTTAGCAGGGAATCATCTTTAGGTCAAATATATCCTGCAATGGCCATCATTATATCTATCTGTGATTTTCTTAAAGAAGAGATGATTTGAAATCATTAGAACTATCCTTTCTCCTGTACCCAAATCATTTAAGTCATCCATGCCAATATGGAGCCCTGGTGGCACAGTGGTTAAGAGCTCGGCTGTTAACCAAAAGCTCAGCAGTTGAATCCACCAGCTGCTCCTTGGAAACACTATGGGGCAGTTCTACTCTGTCCTATAGGGTCGCTATGAGTCAGAATCGACTCGATGGCAGCAGGTTTGGTTTTTTTTAATCGCAATTTATTAAGGTTACAACAAGCTTTCATTAACATCAAAAAAACACAGTGAAAAACTAAGGAAATTGTAAAAATATACTTTCCCAAAATTAAGTTTAATTAAAAATCTTGGCAAACCATTATTTTGGTACTGTTAATTTTCATTTTAAAGAACTAAAGAATGAACAAATCTCACACTTGAAATTCACTGGGAATAATGCTGCGTTTTTTGTGTTTCCTGCGCATCATCTCAGAGTTTTGATTTGCTTTGCTCGTTCTCTTGGCTGTCCCATACCGGGCTGCTCTGAGCACAGTACTGTTGGTTTTGAAAGTTTTATGGCCTTGATCCAGCTGTAATATTACTCTGGTACTCAGAACAAGTGAAGTCCCATTGATGACAACTTGTAATTTACTACATTAACCGCTTTCTTTTTTAAAATACTTGTTTTCCTTTGAGTTTAGGATGAAAGCTATAAAAACAGTGACTTTCATAATTCTCCCCTTTCAAACCACTTATTCCCTTGAGATACAATATAACCAGATGATACTAAGAGCAAAAGCAGGAAAGGTGCCTAGTAAAAATCAAACCTTTAACTTCAAATTAGTTAAAAATTCAGATTTAAGAGGGTGAGCTTAAGGCAGAGCTGAATTGTGAGATAATGTTAGACCTACTCCATCAGATAACTATTTTATTAAGCACACTAGATTTTAAATACTTAAAGAGTGAATCTTCTAGCACAGAAGTGAGCCAAAGTTTACAATTTTACCTTGGAAAGGCTAACTGAAACAAACAAAAAATGATTTAAAAAATATATATGAATAAAGTAATACATTTAAACTTGCTGTCCAGAAAGTATTAAAGTAGAATTAAAGTGTCTAAACAGTCAAAAGAAATAAAGCTATTAAGGATAAACCAAAAAGTATCTTTCAAACATTTCTAAAGAATCTAGAAGGGTCAATTACTTAGGGGCTGAAAGTTTCAAAATCACTTGGGACAGAAGAATAGTGATGACCAACTCTTTTTAAAGGTTCTTAAGACATCGACAACTCTAGATTATCTTCTCAGTTGAATTCTAATACCAGTAACTCCTTAAGCAAGTTTGGGAAAGGACCTGTCACTACATATTACAAATGAAGCAGCCCAAATTCCAAAAAGATTCATCCCAGATTCAGTGGGTAACAAACACCACTTACACTGAAAACACTTTTCTGTAGTTTTCTTATATTCTTGGAAAGTAATGTTAAAAGTGAGATGTTGTTAATAATCTGCTAACTCGCTTAATGCCATTCCCAATATTCTATAGTGACAGCTGGGTAAACTTTTTGAAAACTAAAGAATTCAGCTGAATGTTGCTAAACAATATTGTATGACCTCCCTTTTCAGATGAACACACACATCTACACACTCCCACACCCACCCACATATGCATACACACACACACAAAACAGACTTTTAAAATCTGGGAGGATATATATTCAAAATGTTACATCAGTTATCTCTAAAACATGGGATTCTCAGTAAACATGTCCTTTAGATTGTCTTTTTCCCCTACTTCTATAGCAAAATAGGTCATATGTATTTAATTGCAGTACAGTGAATTACTTAACATGGCCCTTCTAGTCTTGTAGGGTCTTGTAACTCCCATAAAGTGACTGGGTGGGACTATGCAAATAAGGTGTTTGTGGCCCACTAAGAGGACTAGACAGTCTGTTAATAATGCAAATAAGGTACATGGAACCCTTGTGGGGTGGGACCATGCAAATAAGGTGTATGGAACCCTAACAAGGAGACTGGTCAGTTTTGTCATCCCACTAGGCTTAGAGAACCAATCCCAGAGGTGAGGGGGGACCTCGCTACCATCAAGATAAGCTGGGAACTGAGTGCATCCTTTGGACCCAAGGTTTCTGAACTGAAAACCTCCTAGACCCAGGAGACAGAGAGAGCTGTAACACCACAGACAGTGCGAGACGGTAGCAGAGAAGCAGCAGCAGGAGAACCAGGAGACTGACACCAGATGACAGGCTGGACTTCCCAGTGTAGGGAGATGCAGCTACAGGGGGTGTGCCGAGCCAGCAGGAGGCTTGCTGGGAGACAGGGGTGCCTCCAGGCACTTATTAGTGGAGCTAAAGAGCTTTGTAACACTTGGCCGAGCGAGGGCCAAGAGAGAAGCCTGCCTGTGGGCATGGTCAAGAAGCTGTCCTGACCTAAGAACTGTATCCTGAGTCTTTCCTGATCCTGAATTGTAACCTGTTACTTCCCTAATAAACCCCATAACTATGAATATGGTCTGTGAGTTCTGTGAGATCATTGCCAACGAATTATCATACCCAGCCGAGAAGTAGGAAGTGCCAGGGGAGGGACGGCTAGTGTCAGAATTGGTAAAGAGGCTGGAGAGAGAAGGTACGTTTGAACTCCACCTCAGGAATCAGCTGTGGACTAATGATCTTGATTCTCTCTCCTCCTCCGTGTGAAGTCAGATGAGGTCTGCTGCCATGCCACCATTTTTATGTAATAAAAATAAAGTTTTAAAAATAATTTGGCTCAACGCTGACAAGAGTACTGCTTAAATTTCTTATTTACATCAGTGATTCTCAACCAGGGGTAAGTATGTCCCCCTAGTGGATACCTGGCAATGCCTGGAGATATTTCTGGCTGCCTCAAGTAGCAGTCGGGGTGGGGGTTGTTAGTACCAGTATGTAGTGAGTAAAGGCCAACAATGTTGATAAACACCCTATAATGAACAGGGCATCCCCCACAACAAATAAGTTTTCAGAGCAAGATATCAATAGTGCTGCTGCTGCTGAGAAACCCTAATCTACACTGATCTCAGGTAAGCTGGCTTATTTCTCAAAAATAAAAAAGTCCTAGGCGCACCTTTGTGGAAATCACTTTAAATGATTACCTAAACCTATTTTTCTCTCTGAGCCCCGGGGGCACAACAATTAAGTGCACCATTGCTAACCAAAAGATTGGCAGTTCAAACCCACTCAGCAGCTCCATGGGAAAAAGGCTTGGTGATCTCCTCTCGTAACAATTCCAGCCTAGAAAACCCCATGGGGTAGTTCTACTCTGTCACATGGGGTCGTTATTAGTTGAAAATCAACTTGACAGTAACCAAAAACAACAAACCAACTTTTAGACTTAGGTGAATATTTATTAAACTTGTCGTAAGTTGAAAAGGTGTAAGAAGGAACTTTTATAAACAAAAATATTTTTGTGCATCACTCTTCTGATATGTAACATTGGTTCACTTTATAGCTACTCTTAATATAGTGACCAAAACCCAAGCTAGATTTCCTAGCAGCTACAGAATGTACTGGAAAAAATATCATTTTAAACTAAAACAAAACAAAAAGGCTAAGAAGAATTTTAAAGGAGAAATGAAAAACACAAAAAGGTGGGAGGAAATAAAAACACTTTTAGATATAAATTAAAGCAGAGCTACCATTCTATAATGTATTTCTTGGTTGGTCAGAATACTTTGTAGTACACTATAAACATTTCCAGAATAGCAAGGAAATTACTCAAATGGTGTATATAACAAAATATCTTAAGATCATGAAAGTAATGAATTTGTAAAGATAATAAAATTTTGCTTTAATATTGATATTTTCCAGAAGAAATCATAGATTAAGAATTGACATTCTTTCACAACAGTCTCTAAAGATCTTAAAACCCTTGATGCACAAACCACATCACAAATATGGCTTAGCTCTGTGCTAGACACATAGTTTGCATATGTTGTTGTTGTTAGGTGCTGTCGAGTCAATCTCGACTCATAGCCCATGTGACAGAGTAGAATTGACCCATAGGGTTTTTTAGGCTGCAATCTTTACAGGAGCAGATCATTAGGTCTTTTCTTCCATGCAGCAATATGGCCAGGTTGTTATACTCTGTGCCTCCCTATAAAATGGAGGTGATACTATCTACTTTACAGGGTTACTGTGAAAATTACCTGAAGTAATATATTTAAAGTGCTTACAATAGCGCCTAAAACCAAAACCAAACCCGTTGCCTTCGAGATGATTCTGACTCATACTGACTCTACAGGACAGAGTAGAACTGCCCCATAGTGTTTTCTAGGCTGCAATCTTTACCGGGGCAGATCACAAGGTCTTTTATCCCATGGAGCAATATGAGCAGGTTATTTCACCCTGTGCCTCCCTATAAAATGGAGGTGATACTATCTACCTTCCAGGGTTATTGTGAAAATCACCTGAAGTAATATATTTAAAGCGCTTAGAATAGCACCTAAAACCAAAATCAAACTTGTTGCCTTCCAGATGATTCCAACTCATAGCAACCCTATAGGACAGAGTAGAACTGCCCCATAGGGTTTCCAAGGCTGTAATCTTTATGGAAGCAGACTGTCACATCTTTCTCCCAAGGAGTAGATGGTGGGTTAGAACCGCAGACCTTTCAGTTAGCAGCCAAGCGCTTAACCACTGCTCCACCAGGCACTCCTTAAAAAGCACCTAGGACATAGTAAACAGTCAAAAAATATTGGCCTGCTATTATTGTTATGTATTAAATAAACTAATGAACTGAGGTCCACATCACATGTGAAAGCCATTTTTATTTACTTACGTGCATTATCCCCTTCTGGAGGTTGATAAAAAGAAAGGCCCAGTGATACTATGGCTGCAATTTCTAATATAATTAAAGTAACATCTTGTAATGCTTCCCATACTAATTGAAGAAAAGTTTTTGGCTTTTTAGGAGGTATAAAATTCTTTCCAAACACTGCTTCTCTTCTTTCTATATCTGCAGGATTTCCACTTAAACCTTAAAAAAAAAAATCAGTGAACAGTTTTAGTATTTACAAATGAATACATTCATTTGATTCAAAACACATTAATTCATTACACTTTAGATCTTAATTCATAAAATTTCATCAAAATGATTTATTTTTGTGCTTTAGATTAAGTGTATAGAATTTAAATCACTGAAAAACAAGTAGAAAACTCAAGAATGGATTAAAATTTTTCACTTTTCCAAACTGCTTATTTTTGATTGTACTATTTTATACCATCATGAAGATTGCTGTAGATTAGAACTGATACAACAGTTTGATAGTTTTTATATTGTAATTAAACATTTCTCTGACCTCTACTTAAGATATTTTTAGGACAAAAATGGGCAAGTGTATAAAGGTATAGATTTGATTTACTTATTGCACCTTAGGTAACTTTATTTAATGAAGAATAATAAAATATTAATCTATCACAAGCTCTATATACTTGCCGATTAAAATGTCTCTGTTATACTTGATCAATAAAAAGATGTGCAAGTCACAAAACACAGTATACTTGGGATGACCTCTCCTTCAGGTTTTACTTTTAGGATTAATTCCAATTGAAGAAATAGTTGCTATGGGTTGACCACACCTTCTCTCTAAGGGAAATGGTACACCGCAGGATATAATATTTATTGTCTGGAGTATGAAACTGGAAGAGGTTAAGAGAGAGCTGGATGAACATGAATACTGCCTTTCCTTTACCCTATCAAGCAAGTACTCTTTAACCCTGTTGATCCCACCAAACCTAGATATATCCCAATGCAAGGTATGTACATGTACACATTAATGTGGGGACATAAAAACTGATAGTAGTAACAAATGACAATTTTCCTTAATCTATTTAAGAGGGGGCAGAGATACCAGAAAGATACAACTTTTACTTTATCATATTAAACCTAACTTCAACCTGATTTTTGGCAAGAGCTTATTCTAAGAGAACCTCAAAGGAGGAAAGACAAGAACATAGATTACTGGAAGGTTCCCAGCTTTCCCTGTCTCAGCTATTAATCTCAATGCTGAGACTGGCAGAGAATAGGAGAGAATAAAAAGAGTACACTATTAGAAAAAACAATGAGAAATGAATATGTAAATTTAAAGTAATTATTTACTTTCTTGAAGGTACCAAAAAGTTTCAAGAGAATGTTTTCAATAACAACCATAATGGGGTCCATAGTGGGAGGTTCAGAAAACAATTTAGATTTCTGATGACAAAAGTAATCAATGGGAAGTCTCCACAGAGCTCTCACCTTTGAGAGAGTTACTGGAAAGAAAGGCAGTGAATGATTTTAATAATTGTGATAAGGGGAAAAAACAGTATGAGAGCTGAAACATGCCAATTATAATTTAGAATGCTCTCACTGTTCATTTAGACTAGATCAATGTTTCCCAATCACACCTAACCCGTACCAAACCAAACCCGTTGCTGTATAGTCGATTGCGATTCATGGTGCCCCTACAGGACAGAGCACAACTGCCCCATAGGGTTTCCAAGGAGTGGCTGGTGGATTCAAATACCCATCTTTTAGTCAGCAGACAGGCTTTTAACCAATCACACCTGGCTGTAACCAATTCCCCTAGTCAATGATGTTAAATGGAGAAAAGGTGAATCACTGTAATGAGGTTTTCCACAAAATAAAATTTATTCATTTTAAAGAACTATACTTTGACATTTTCTGAAATTATGCCGTTCCTGCTTTACAGATGAAAGATTCTTTCTGTTACAACAGGATGATATTAGATAGCGGATAGGTTTATTTTGTCTTATGTTTTAATGGTCTTACTAGCAAAAATAAAACATTTCTATCCCTCCATGTAGTATCAAATTTTTGTTGTTGAAACTTTATTGGTCAAAGAAATCAACATCCTAGACGGAAAATGGTATTTACTAAATTCAGCTGCCTATTTCCCAATCTTTAAAGCACATACATTTTTTTAATTTCTAAGAACCCTCTTACAGCAAGTCTTTGGTGTACAAAATGCTTGTTATCATTTAAGTGCATATAATATTTTGTGTCTCCATTAATATTTTAAGAAATTTGAAAATAATGGTTACATCAGTTTAACTTACACTTAATAGGGCCTACCAGAAATTGCATACATATAACAACACTTAGCCGCTCCATGGGACAAAGATGTGTCAGTCTGCTTCCGTGAGGATTACAGCCTAAGAAACCTTATAGGGCAGTTCTACTCTGTCGACAGGGTTGTTATGAGTTGAAATTGATTCGATGGTGATGGGTTAGTTTTAAATACCACCACTAAAACTACAAATAAAGTTGATTAAACCTTAACTTACATTGGTTATAACAAGGACAAATATTTTTTATGTTAATGCTGAAAAGTCACAGAGCTAAAGATAGCTTGAAAATGTATCTTGAAGCAGATTTTGGGAAGTAAAAAAAGCAACTGGCTCCTAAAGAGTGTTATAATTCTCTAAACCACCACTACCACAAACACAAGCACACACCCAGGACACTAAACTAAGAACCTGACTGGTTTAGAAATCAGAAGACCTAGACTCCAGCTCACATACTGAAATCTTGTACAAGTCATTTAACCTCTTTGGGGACAGGGGGTCACTAATATTTGTTGGTCTACCTTACACTTTGAAGAACCAAACAAAACGTAAGTGAACACAGTGTGTAAATCATAAATTATAGAGGAATTGTTATCAAACTAAGGGAAAAGAAAAGTTATAAACTGATTAAACACTCTAGGTTTTAACTCCATTTTGTGAGCATTTAATTTCTATTGGAGCCCTGGTGGCATACTGGTTAAGTGCTCGGCTGCTAACAAAAAGGTTGGCAGTTTGAATCCACCAGCTGCTCCTTGGAAACTCTATGGGGCAATTCTACTCTGTCCTATAGTGTCGCTATGAGTTGGAATCAACTTGACGCCAATGGGTTTTTTGGTTTATTTCTATTACTATAAAATAATCAATTTATATAATCTAAATATAATTAAGAGCTTTGTACTAACACTCTGTTGGCTGATACAGATTTACTGAACATCTATTACTTTCAGGGATTGTTCTACATGCTGACGAGTCAGTGTCAACAAGACAAGTTCTATATTTAACAAGCTTATATTATGCTGGAGGGAAAGGAACAAGGAGACAATTAAAATAATTATAGGCACTAATAAGTGCAATGAAGAAGGTAAAGGTAGAGTACTCGTGGACTGTGTTAGCCTTTCTGAGGAGGTAACATTTGACTTGAGTTATGACAGATAAGGAGTCAGGAGTGAGAAGACCTTAGAGCTAAGCACTCCCATCAGCACAAAAGCAAGTGCAAAGGCCCTGAGACCAAAGCAGGGTTGGAAGATTCAAGGGTAAGAAATACAGCCACTGTGGCTAGAGCCTAGTGACCTAGGGGAAAAGAAGAGAGGCTTGAAATAAGAAAATCAGCTAGAGGCAGGATCACGGGAGATATGGGAAGGGTTTAGGCATTTCTTCTAGTGCAATGAGAACCACTAACTCACTGCCATCGAGTTAATTCTATCTCATAAAGGTTTTAAATCATGCTTGTGATAACTAATTTGCATTTTAGAAAGATCATTTCAATTGTGTGACAGATCAATGGAAGGGTGCAGGAGTGGAGGAAAAGGTCAGTTGGGAGGCTGTTGCAGTACTGTCCAAATAAGAGATGTTGGTGACTTCAACCTGGGTTTTAGAAATGGAAGCAGAGAGTAGTGACTAAATCTGCCAGGTATCTTGGAAGGAAGAATCAGAATTCACTGAAGGATTAGATATGGGTGAGAGAAAAAGAGGAATGAAGAATTATTTCTAGATTTTTTTCACCAAGCACCTGAGTAGATGGATGGAAGAGTCATTTACCAAGATAGAGCAGACACTGGGAACTGCAGAGTTGGAGGAGAGGTGGAGGCAAGAGTTAATACTTCTGCCCCCGGACACCCTTTTAGCTCAGTAATGAAGTCACTCCTGAGATTCACCCTTCAGCCAAAGATTAGACAGGCTCATAAAACAAAACGAGACTA